GAGAGGTAGAAATAAAACATATTGATCAGCATCCCAATTTTTGAGGTGAAGAAACTGACACTTGGCTTATTAAGGGATTAAGTGATATTAAGTGGCTGTGGTGAATGATAAATTTTCTGATTCCCTAATTAATGTTATTTTTCCCCACCAGGGAACACTGAAATAGGTGGATCATTATTCATTGAAACAAAAACAAAAACAAAAACATTTATTGAATGGCTATTATGTACCAGGCACTGCTGGGCACTGGGGATACAGTAGTGAAACTGGCAGACAGGTCCTTGTGCTCCTGAAGTTACCATTCTAGTGGGAAGAGATAGTAAAAAAGCAAGTGAGTAATAATAAACAGGCTATATTAATGAGTGTGATGACAGTAAAACAGGGTGATGTAATAAAGAGGAACTAGGGGAGATCAGATGGTGAAGGAAGGCTTCTCTGAGGAGGTGGCTTTCATGACAAGAAGGAGTTGAGTTGGAAACCTTTTCTTGGATATGTAGCTGGGATATGGGAGGGAAGTTCTTAGAAAGAGGAGCTTCCAAGGTCCTGCTCTGGGCCACCACCAATGGAAGGAGCAGGAGGAAAGGCTGCAAGTTAAGAGTGGCTCAGGGCCCAAAGTCAGAAAGACTTGCTAAATTGGAAACATTCTTTCTGGGAGGCAGAAGAGCAAAGAAACTTGTGAACGGTGGAAGGGGAATTTTTTTTTTTCCTGCAAGTATTTACTACGTTTAACTATATTTTTAAATAAAATTTATTAAGATATAATTTAGATAGATTAACATTCCCTAATTTTAAGTGTACAGTTTGATGAGTCTTGAGAAATATATACATACACCTGTGCTAAACGCCTCCCCTATTAATGTATATTGTTTACATTTCCATAACCCTAACGTTCCCTTGTGTCTCTTTACAGTCAATTCTAGTAAGATATTTTGTAGAATATACTTCAGTTTGAGTTTATCTAATGGTTTCTCAATATTACACTAGAGTTATGGGTTTTTGACAAGAATGTCATAGAGATGAAGTGCCCTTCTCTTGACTTCATGTCAGGAGGTACATTATATCTATGTCTACTGGTGATATTAACCTTGATCACCTAATTAAGGTGTGACTGGTATGCTTGTCCATTGTAAGGTTACTATTTTTCTCTTTGTAATTATTAAATATCTTGGGGAAAATATCCCATAAAAATTTAAATTGGCATTATATAAAACCTATAAGTTGAATTAGAGTGTTGTTTCATTTTATTTAGTTACCTAGTCAGGAGCATGATCCATTTTTTTCGTTATCTATTTTCCTTTATTTTTCTCATTCATGTTCTATGGTTTTTTCAATAAACATGAATTCTGAATTAATAGGAAGACTGTGATAAAATGGAAAGGAGCATAGTATTTTACATGAGGCAAACCTGGATTTGAATCCTAACTTTCCCATTTACTGGTCAGATGACCTTGAAAAAAGCCTTAAAATCTGAGCCTCTAATTTCTCATCTGTAAAAGCAGCTAACAAAACCATAACACATATCACAAGGTTTTTGATAGAATTAAAGCACCTAGTAGTTTCTGGCACCCAGTAAGTGATCTGTAAATGTCATATCTTGCCTTCCTTAATATCCGAGTGTTTAATATTATTGTCATTATTACAATTAGACTCCTATTTCTGGTTGGGTGGCTCTAGGATATAGAAACTCAATAGATTTTTAGATGGTTTTTTTTATGCCTGACATCACTGAAACTTTAGTGCAGGGGTACTACATTTTTTACATTTCTGAGTTTCTGGAGAGAAAGCAGCTGGGATTGTTTCAGTTGATGGCAAATTCTTACAGCTCACTAGTATCTTCTATACCTTTGCAAAATTCCTTCATTACCTCTGGTATTTGGGGATTTGATTTTCATCGATGTACAAATGTATCATTTGCAAAAGTGTCATCTTTATATTTCTATCTCTCATATATTCCTACTTTTTACTTATTTTTCTTCTTTCATTATTAGTACTATTTTAAAGTATAATTTTAACAGGGACAATCTTGTGTGGTTCCTATTTTTAACCAAAATTAATCTAATATGAGCTTTTGTTTGGAAAGATGTGCTTACGTTAAGCAAAAGAGAAAATACTACAATACTCTTCTCCTTACCCCTGATTTTTTTAAGGTTTAAGTGAAACTTTTGTCTTTTTTTCCCCTTTGCTCCAAATTGTATTTTCTTTTCTAAACATGTTTGATTTGTTCCCTTCTTAAGTCCTTGAGGCAGGGATTTAATTTACTGTTGCTTTTTTGTACTGATATAGGCTTTCAGGACAATACAGTCTCTAAATACTGCCTTGGCAATCTTCCATAAAGTGTTACTCCCATAAAATCAGTCTTATCCTTTTGTCTCAAGTTCCATTATGGTTTGGCATGTCATTGTTACTGATCCTCTGTTACAAATTTTGATATTTTATCATGGATTTTTTTTTTGCATTAATTTTGATTTTTAAAAATAGTGCATTAAATTATTATTTATCTCGATTGCTGAGTTTTTTGGTGTCCTCTGAAATTTTGTCCCGGAGGCAAGTGCCTCTCTCACTTTACCTTAGCCTAGTCCTGGTCCCATAGTAGCCTCCCAGAGAGAGTTCTGCTTTCAACTTCCTTTTGAAATAGAGGCTCGATGTTCAGAGAAAATAAAACTGTCAGAGATATCAAACCAGTTACACTGCCTGTCAGGAGATAATCATGATTTCCCCTTCCTTCTTCTCTTGTCGTCTCTTTCCTATGACATGTGGGGCTCTCAGCTCAGCAGAAGTCCCTGTTCATTTCTAACTATTGGCATTGAGCAAGGCCACATTGCTAATAGGATGCCTGAGATCACTTCTCCATTTAGAGAGGTGAAAGGCCAGGGCCTCACCCTCCAGGGATAAACGCCAAGGAATGTTGAGCTGCTCCAGACTCTTGTCAGGACCCATCGTGGCCCCAAACATTCCTTTCTCTGCTGGAGTCTGGCAAAAATCAAGTTTCCCACCCTGATCTTTCCTTATCCACACAGGTTTCCCTGAGAAATTATGGAAAAGAAACTCTTAGAATCCTTAAATGTCAGAACTGGAAGGGCCCTTAGAGATCATTTTTGCCCCAACTCCCTCATTTAACAGTACACATTACTTCCGGTGCTCTATTTCTATGGTCCAAGGAATCCCAAAGGCTGCCACATAATAAAAATCAGGAGCAAGTCAAGAGCCAAGTCAATCAAGGAAGTAAACTACTATGGGCCCCAGCTGTGCTCAGGGAGTATTGAGTCATCAGAAATGCAGCCTTGGCCCTGGGATTTGTTTGTTAAGGATTTTCTTCAAGGACAAAGAGAAGGATCTGTGGTTGCTCAACTCCAAAGCTTTTTCACGGAGTAGGGTACGACTGGAAAAGATTTGATTAGCTTTCATCCTGGCTGGGGAGTTTCGTTTTAAAGTCCTGATTTGAAGGGGCCTGCCTTTCCTTCTGATTGTTCCAGACATTGTGAAGAAGCTGGATAAATTTGCCCCCATGCCTCTTACCTCCTCCTTAAAGTGTCTCTGGGTTATATTCTCAGAGAATCTTGCTTTCAGTTTGAAAATGTATCATGAGCACTTGCAACTATGTTAGGATGGGCTTTGAAAGGTACAGCTTCCTTCACATATCTACATTTGTAACAAGATTTGCCTTGTGAAAAGCATTATGTCCATTCCTCTAGTTTAATCTCTAAACAGCAAGGATAATTTTAGCTACTTTGTACAGATGAAGAAACAGGCTCAGAGTCTAGGTGACTCTGTAAGGCCATGCAACTAGTAAGAGGCAAAAGCTTTGACTTTTGAATCCAAAAGGATGCTATATCCTGTAATTGTTCTCTGCAAAGCCACATGCTCCTCAAAAGTGCCAAGGTACGCCACAGCATATTAGCTAACAAAGGACCATCAGGTTGAAACCACTGTCTTGATCTGATTTGCAGTGAATTCTAGCATTGTGATTGACTTCTAAGAAACATAAAACAAAGCTAGGAACTTAGTACTATTATTAAAGGAAACATTGGGATTCACATAGGTTGGCTATGAGGAATTTACCATTATATAGCTTTCCTCAGAAAGTTTTTTGTCTCAGACTAATGAACGACAAAGAAATTTTATCAATTGAAGGAAATGACTTAAGGAAGCTTTATTCACACATTAGGGGAGGATCAGATTCCATTGTAGTTCTGGATAGTAAATATTAAATAGTCATGGCTAAATAGTAAATACTAAATAACCTTGCTCAGTGAACAGTGACGGTGTGTGTGTGTGTGTGTGTGTGTGTGTGTGTGTGTGTGTGTGTGTGAGTGAGTGTG